CCATGATTTTCTGTATATTTCGCCTATCAAAGAAAAACATACCACTGACTATATGACGATTATCTTGACACCAATAAGGTAAATCTCCAAAATTACAAAGCGAACCATATGTTGCAGCCTCATTAATTACTTTACTACTATCATCTAAACCATTATAATTATGATTCTCTTCTGCTTTAGTTGATGATTCAATGTCTATGACATTACTTGAAATAATTGAGGTTGGCCTTTCAACAACTGCCGATTCAGATAAAGATTTTTCTAGATTTGTCATTTTCTTATGAGAGTTATTTAATTGACTCTTTCTATAAAGAAATATTACTGCAATATGTTTTAATAAATATATTTTATATACAGTATATATATATATTTGGAAATATAACTAATACAACTAAAATTCTGCAAATGAAAAAAAAACAAGATTTGAAGCGCCAAAGCTTTAATGGTGATAAAGTATGTATTATTATTACCCTCATGGAGTTATGAGTAACCTTGCACGGAAACCAAAAAAATTAAACCACTTAAACAAATTAATCATAGTGTATGTATCAATATCAGATAAACTCTTAAAGATCCAATCGAATCGAAACAACAAAAAAAAAAAAACTTTGAAATAACCATAAACAATAATTATTATCTACGTAGTAAATTGCCGCGTGTCGTTTGTAAATTTAGACAACTTAAATATACAGGGATTGAACATGATAAAACTTCGTATGCTATTCATATTTTCAGTGCTAAAACTGTGTTGGCATACATAAAAGTCGGAATAAATGCCCTGATTTTATAACACGTTTGAGACTTCGCCACCTTGTAGCAAGAAACTACGTGCATTATCCCATGAAAGAGACGGCAAATAGAAAACCTAGGACAGGTTACATCAATCTTCTAACCCAATATTCAGATTACGATAATACTGTATCTACTGTAAATACTTATTTAAGCTTCGCAAACACGATTTCAAACTATTTATCTTTATTTGCTTTAAAATACAGAAATATGACATATGACTTAAAAGAAAATAATATTGATAATTGAAAATAATTATTTCCTTATTTGCTCTAAAATTTTTAATGGTAATTCTTTTTTACGTACAGTACGTATAGTGCGGGTCAACATAAGACAACTAATGCGCCAATTTTTAAAAATCTTATTATTATATTAAAAATATTAACCAATCAGAAGTTTTATAAGCGCCAAATTTTAAAATCTATTTTTATTAAATTGATATCCTTTTAGGGGCTTTATAATTTATCGTTATCGCTATAGCGATATATCGCTACCCGGATCTAAGTCAAATCAAATCTCGAAAATCAAAATTCCGAAAATCAAAATCCCGAAACTTAATTGTGTAATGTCGGTATTTCAATATTCAAACTCCGCTTATAATTGGTAATCTATATTACTAATCATATGGGAGTTTGAATTTTGAAACCCTGACATCACGCGAAACGACAACTAAGTCTCAGGGGTAGCGATACATCGCTATGCGATAAAAAATAAAATCCTTTTTTTAAATTAAAAATTTTAAAAATCCCTTTTTCAGATTTGTTAATCATATTAAAACAAAAAAATTGAAAGAGAAATTGTCATTTTTATTTTTTAAGAGATAAGGGCCCAAAAACGAAAATAATTACAAATAAGGGACCTAATTACAGATAGAGACCCGATATTTGAAAATTATTACAAATCCCTATAAAAAAAGTTTGTACAGTTATTGTAAGCATTGTCCAAAAAAATGTTCGGAACGGAGTTGATTTTCCGAACAGGGTTTATGTTTGTACTGTTTTCATAACGATGTTTGTACGGGATGTAAAAAATAGAAAATTTTTGATTGAAAATTATCGTATAAAAAGCGCATCCAATAAACATCCTTTAAATGTTTGAAACGGAGTCGATTTTCCGAACAAAAAATCGAATAATTTCAGAATTTTCTGAACAATTCCAAGAGATTTTTTTTTTATAGGGAATAAGGGCCCAAAATAATTAAAACCTAAGATTTAAGCCCATTTTGATGATTTGAATATAATTGTAATATAGTAATTAATTGTTAAAGCATAAGAAATGTAATAATAATACTTATAACAAGCACCATGTCATATAAAATTACAGATCAGTATGACTTTTACTAACATGA